TGCTATCACTTCCAACATAAATGAAGACAGGAAACTAAACAGCAGTGACGTTTGTAGGGTTACTGAAGTTGGGCTAGCTGGTATATAATGATGTGCTACGTGATCGCTAGCGACACAGCTATGTTAGCATAACATAAACAGTGAAGCTGGAGGACGAACACTAACACTTTTCCACTTATAAAAGTTAACGTGAAGGTTCCTCATGGTTAGAGACAAATGCAATCGCATGGCAGGATGCTGTAAACGGACCAAACTTCAGTCAGGAGAACAACTGAGATAATCCATCCACAATACGAGGTTAGTCATTAATATACTGCAACAACATGGGAATAGAGCAGCTGCCAGAGAATTCAACATTAATGAATCAATGGTACAGAAGTGGAGGAAGCAAGAAGAATGAGTTTAATAAAGTTTGATTTATCTGACTGCTTTGTTTCGCTTAATGTGCCTTATAATCCCGTGCACCTTATGGTCCGAAAAATACGTACTGCACACTGCAGTTTAATGTTGCAAAGCACCTCTTTTTAACTTCAGTGGATATTATACATGGTTATGCTCAGGATATGTCAGCCCATTTCTACTGGAAATGCCTTTTGGTTAAACTTTCAGCAAGGAATTTGCATTTGCACTGTTACATTTTTATAAAGCTTTAATGTACATAAAAACCAGCTTCTTGTTTAAGTGAAAATAAATGGATAGGTTGTCTTTTTGCGCTAGTAATGTTGTGGAGTTGTATTTTGTCTCGCATCAATTATATCGTCAGTTATATCGTTATCGCAAATTTTCAAATATATATCGTGATAAATATTTTTGGCCATATCGCCCTGCTCTATTTCAATTATTTATTTTTACCAGTGAAACCAATATAACATCTCCACATTCACAAATATACATTTCTGACATTCAAAAACAAAACAAAAACAAATCAGCGACCAATATAGCCACCTTTCTTTGCAAGGACACTCAAAAGCCTGCCATCCATGGATTCTGTCAGTGTTTTGATCTGTTCACCATCAACATTGCGTGCAGCAGCAACCACAGCCTCCCAGACACTGTTCAGAGAGGTGTACTGTTTTCCCTCCTTGTAAATCTCACATTTGATGATGGACCACAGGTTCTCAATGGGGTTCAGATCAGGTGAACAAGGAGGCCATGTCATTAGTTTTTCTTCTTTTATACCCTTTCTTGCCAGCCACGCTGTGGAGTACTTGGACGCGTGTGATGGAGCATTGTCCTGCATGAAAATCATGTTTTTCTTGAAGGATGCAGACTTCTTCCTGTACCACTGCTTGAAGAAGGTGTCTTCCAGAAACTGGCAGTAGGACTGGGAGTTGAGCTTGACTCCATCCTCAACCCGAAAAGGCCCCACAAGCTCATCTTTGATGATACCAGCCCAAACCAGTACTCCACCTCCACCTTGCTGGCGTCTGAGTCGGACTGGAGCTCTCTGCCCTTTACCAATCCAGCCACGGGCCCATCCATCTGGCCCATCAAGACTCACTCTCATTTCATCAGTCCATAAAACCTTAGAAAAACCAGTCTTGAGATATTTCTTGGCCCAGTCTTGACGTTTCAGCTTGTGTGTCTTGTTCAGTGGTGGTCGTCTTTCAGCCTTTCTTACCTTGGCCATGTCTCTGAGTATTGCACACCTTGTGCTTTTGGGCACTCCAGTGATGTTGCAGCTCTGAAATATGGCCAAACTGGTGGCAAGTGGCATCTTGGCAGCTGCACGCTTGACTTTTCTCAGTTCATGGGCAGTTATTTTGCGCCTTGGTTTTTCCACAGCTTCTTGCGACCCTGTTGACTATTTTGAATGAAACGCTTGATTGTTCGATGATCACGCTTCAGAAGCTTTGCAATTTTGAGACTGCTGCATCCCTCTGCAAGATATCTCACTATTTTTGACTTTTCTGAGCCTGTCAAGTCCTTCTTTTGACCCATTTTGCCAAAGGAAAGGACGTTGCCTAATAATTATGCACACCTGATATAGGGTGTTGATGTCATTAGACCACACCCCTTCTCATTACAGAGATGCACATCACCTAATATGCTTAATTGGTAGTAGGCTTTCGAGCCTATACAGCTTGGAGTAAGACAACATGCATGAAGAGGATGATGTGGACAAAATACTCATTTGCCTAATAATTCTGCACTCCCTGTATAACTGTGATAATATGCACATGTCACAGTACAGTGTATAATTACATTATTTTGGTTTTCTAGTTACATCATGTTGGTTTTTCCCTTTGTTACACAGATATTGTGATGATTATTATCATCTATACAGATCAAAACACATCAACCTGATCGTTTTCTAGAGGGAATCGTAAAATACAATTCAGAAAGAATGATTTTGCACAGTTGGCCTTTTTCTATCTGAGCTGCACAAACCCTCCTGAGTCAATCGACACCTCGCCCCTTATAGAACCTGCTCGGTCAGTGTAAATCATATAATCATCATTCACATTCATTGCATGAATACTAAGCAATGGTAGAGATCACCTAAGATATAAATTATTTCTATTCAAAGCTACTTTTGCTAACATGTTAATGTTGCTACTATAAAGTTTCCTGAAAATGCTCCTCTTAGTAAATTGAATGTAAATATTTTAATTGGTTGTCATTCAATAAAAGTGAATACGTAAGTGTTAGCGAACCTCAACAGCTCTGTTAAAACACAGCTTGTAGCTCAGTCTGTGCATTTGGTGGCTAGCATCGGTATCAGTCTTTGATTACATGAGTTACATGTGTCATGACCATGTTACATGATCGTGTGTTACATGTATGAAAATGCATCGTGTGGTTGTGTTGCTACGTAAGATATCAATAAATAACTAGAAAATGCATTTTCTGAAGAAACTGCAGTGTGAATGCTGATAGCTGAATGTTTTGAGCTGAAATGAAACAAATGCTGAATTTAAGTAAAAAATGCTGAATGAGATTAAAAATACAGAAATTTTCACCTGAAAACAAAAGTTGAGAACTGTTGAAAGCTGACGTTCACACGGAAGTTGAAAAGTAGGTGAACATGTTTAAAATGTGAATTAGAAAAACCTGAGTAAAGACAAAAGAAAATTTAGTCAGAAAACATCTGAATGAATATGAAACCTTATATTATTTAAATCTCTGAATGACTGAAATATGGGAAAATCCACTAAAGACAACTAAATGTTGTAAGATTCAGTCAGAAAAGATGATTCTAAGTCATCATCTGACTTCAACTGCCGAGATCTGAACCACCAATGAACAATAAGCTTGAATTTAATGGGCCAATCAGAATGCTGTATTTAGCTGGCCTGCAATAACTACTGGCATACTGTTATTCTGTGGCAAAACCCTGTCAAATCTGCTTTGGTGCACCTGTTGAAAAACTGCATCTAAATCCAAGACCATAACTTGTAAAAAACAGCTTTTGAACTGTGAGGATCCCAAGGAATTGTTCTACACAACAGTGTCCCGGGTCATTTACTTCTTTTTCTCCAATCACACTCAATGACTTAATTGCAGTAATAGGTAAAATGAAATCCTCATCATGCTCCTTAGATATATTACCTCCCTCTGTCCTGTCTGGGACTCTCACCAGCATTGGTCCCACATTACTATCCATCATCAACAATTCACTGAGGCAAGGCTGTGTTCCGTCCTATTTTAAACATGCTGAGGTAACCCCTCTGTTAAAAAAACAGAATCTAGATCCTACCTCCCCTAGTAGTTATCGTCCTATTTCAAGATTGCCATTTATAAGTAAATTACTAGAAAAGATTGTAGAAAATCAGTTCAGGTCCTTACTATGCCGATTGCAGATTTTTGACCCTTTTCAGTCTGGCTTTCAAAAGCAGCACTCTACGGAGACCGCTCTCTTAAGGGTCTATAATGATCTACTAATGGCATCTGATGCAGGAAATTGTTCCGTGATCATTTTGCTTGATCTTAGTGCAGCCTTTGACACCATCGACCACAAAATCCTACTCAACAGGCTGAAGGTTCTGGCTGGTGTATCTGGCACCGCCTTAGACTGGTTTTCTTCCTACTTATCAGACAGGACTTTTTCTGTTAGGACTGATAGGTTCTCCTCTAACACTGCTGCCCTAACCTGCGGGGTTCCACAGGGTTCAGTTTTGGGTCCATTATTATTTTCTTTTTATATGCTTCCTTTAGCTGGCATTATTCAGTCTTTTAGTGACCTGTCTTATCATTTCTATGCCGATGACATTCAGCTGTATATGTCCTTTAAGCCTCATCAGCTGGATAGGCTGTCCACCCTAGTCCAGTGCTTAACTCAGGTTTCTGACTGGCTTTCTAACAATTACCTTGTTTTAAACATGAACAAGACAGAGACCATGATCATAGCTCCTCCTGATCTATATTCTAAAATCAGTCAGGTTCTTGCCCCTTTCTGTTCTTCTGCTAAGCCAAATATTCGAAATCTTGGAGTAATATTTGACTCTTCTTTGGGCCTTGACTCACACGTAAAATCTCTGTCTCGTTCCTGTTTCTTTCATTTAAGGAATATTTCTAAACTGCGACATATGGTCTCCTTAGCTGAACTGGAAAAAATTGTCCATGCATTTGTGTCATCGCGTTTAGATTATTGTAATTCCCTGTTTACCAGCTTGGATAAATCATCTCTTTCTCGCCTCCAAGCTATACAAAACGCAGCAGCCAGACTACTAACTCGCTCTAGCAAGCGAGCTCACATCACTCCTATTTTATGTTCTTTACATTGGCTCCCAATAGATTTTAGAATTCGTTTTAAAATTATTGTTTTAACGTACAGAGCACTAAATGGCCAAGCCCCAGATTATTTATCCAAGCTTCTCACAAAATACACTACTGCTCGCCGCTCGCTAGAAGTTAGCAGGAAGTTAGCTTGCTAGCTTCTATCTAAATACAATATAGCATGTCCTGACTGCGGGGTTTTGGAAACAAATTAAAACGTACAGCTCTGCTTATCACTTCCAACATAAATGAAGACAGAAAACTAAACAGCAGTGACGTTTGTAGGGTTACTGAAGTTGGGCTAGCTGGTATATAATGATGTGCTACGTGACCGCTAGCGACACAGCTATGTTAGCATAATATAAACAGTTATGTTTGAGTTATGATGCAGCTGTTACTGGGCAAAGTATGGGACTAATCCGTGGACAGATGATTATAAGTTGTATTGTAATAGCTTTGTGCTAACGATGCTATTTGTTAACTCAGAGCTGATATTTATTTCTTTACATCTTAGTTCTGGACATTATAGATGAAAATGAAAGAAATCAAAACTGAATGAGGATCTGATGGTACGGTCACCGGAGCAACCTGCAAATCTAAAGGCGACCACAGCATTTAAATCATTACATTGGGCAAAACATGCTAAATTGAGCATGTGCAATCGTGTGAGAGTGGTTTGGGATCTTTGAGAGGATGAAAAGTAGTTTTCTTGAAATGTGCTTGTTTAATTTGCTTAGCTAGTGGAGTGTAACTTCAGTGTAAGGCCTCAAATCAAAACCTTGATTAACTGAACAGTTTACAGTTATTGATTGATTATTTTATACACACACACTCATGTCATTTTTCATTCATTGCTCATCTCAACTATAAACAAAAATGAAAATTCGGCCTTGACAATGACACCAGAGCATGCAGAAGGATTTATTAATGCATATCATTTGAAAGGCAACAAAAATGCCAGTGTCATGGTGGTGCGAGAGGAAAGGTGAGGGGATCAGCACACGTGATAGAATTCATCCTCTGCACCATAGACTATGATTGTTTGGACTAAAGGCACACATGGAGAACTGAGCATCATTGCTATTCCTATGTCAAGCTGCTAGCATGCTGGGAAAGAAAAGCATATATTAATATATTACAAGTCTCTGGGTGTCGTTGCAGACGTGTGCTTTAACGAAAGCAATACGTTTTTGAACACTTGTGAGTCATCTTCGTTTTACATCATCACTGGTAGGTGTATGTTTAAGGGCACTAAATGTTGGGACACATGGCTTATGTCAGAAATCTGAGTGGACCAGGTTGGAGTCTTTAAATCGAGTTGCCGACAGTCCTCATGATTTAAAAAAAAATGCTTGATATTTGCTACTGATGGAGTTAGTCAGGTGAGGGAGACATTTTTCATTCACGGTGAATGTAACGGCAGCTCCTGCTTTGCTCCATGTGCTGGATCGCTTTGGTTAACTCCGTTCATGTTTGTATATGTGTGAGTAGTAGGTACCTGTGCGTCCTTCTCACAGCTTTTTTGACAGCTTTGTCTTGGGACGAGTGACGGGGTGACTGACTGGCTGTAATTTGGTTGTCATGGATACAGATGTAGCAGATACACGCGCACACGAGCACGCACAGACAGCAGTGTGACTCCAGGGGTTGATGCGCCTCAAATAGAAACGCAGAGATGAGTCATCCGCCAAGCTGCTGCAGTACACACAAACACACACACACACACACACACACACACACACACACACACACACACACACACACGCACACTCACCTTTAGTAGATGTGTTTGGTATGTTAGACCACTGAGATGTCAGACATGTTGCCTGGACAGTTTCATCTGCTAGTATAAACACACGAAAGGCTGATTTTAAGCTAACAGCACATGTCTTTAATAAATAATCATAGTGTTGGATAACAGAGCAGCAACACAGCAGCCCATTCAGTTTCAACAAGACAGGACACTTCAAGTTAACTTTCTGTATTTACATTTTCTCCCTTTGCTGTGTATATAGTCTTTACTTGTGAGTCATACTGAGGCAGCCTTAGATCTGCTGGAGGACACAGGGAGCTGTTTACACAGGAGGTGAGGATGATGAGGGAGATGAAGGTGATGAGGAGGAGGTGGGATAGAAGTGATGATAAAATGATTCAAAGAAACATTTCTGTAAAGGAAACAGCAGCGACAGTGGTCAACGCAGAGATGAAAAGCAGACAAATACATGAATTAGACGGGTCCTGAGCTGGTCTGCTGGATTTGTTCGTCTGTTAAATGTAAAATCACTGATTACACAGAGCTCAGTTTGTTCTCCTCTTTTGCTTTTTCTAATCCTTGCACTCTGCATTTGCCAGCAGCTGAGACATCCCATTATATTTCGTTATGAGGACCAAAACCTATTCTTAATCTCTAGCTTCTGTTATGACTGAATACTGAATGGAACAAACAAATTCTATAAAGAGCAGTTTCAATGAATAATATCCACGCTGACAGCAAAGTGAGGCGTGTAGCTTCTGGTTACAAAGAAGCCTTTGCAGGATTCTCTGTGACAGTTTTCTATTGGAAGTGAGGTGACTGAAAAATGTCCGAAAGAATAGAAAAAAATTTCTGAAGCCCGGAGAACGACTGCTCAGGGTCAGAATATAAGAAAACAAAAGTCTGGCTCACTGGAAGCAAAATGGGAAGAAATCAGAGGTAACTTAAGACTTATGCACAGTCTTGTAGTTATACTTAATTTAAATTCCTTTTTGAAAATTACATTTTTCAACAAAATGTGAAGAAACTGTTGTGAGTTTGTGTCCAAAAGCGTCTTTGTATTGTGTTTAAGAGATTTTAACGAAAGCCTAACTAGATCTGGCTGTACTTTAACTACCAGCTTTTAACCACAAGATGGTGCAAGTGAGGCGGTGTACTCTTTGTTTAACCCAGCAAGTCCTTAAGACCACAGACGTATTGGCAGCCTGGCAAGTGGCAGATGCTCTTAAAGAAATGGTGGCAGCGAATAAAAAAAAGTTAAGCAGCCATCAAATAATAACATCTTAAACCACTAGTAAAACACTGCCCCCTGATGGTGGAAGTTGTAGCTAATTCAAACAAGTGTCTTTAAGGCTTCAACGTTTCTTTTCAATAAAAACCTGTTTAAGGGTTAAGTGAATGAAGCCTCACAAAAACAATGATTAACAATATTGTTAATGCAATTTAACAGCAAGTACAGCTTAAAGCTGCAGAACCATTCGCAGCACCAACCTGATGGTGGTACTAAATGGAACAGTTATCAGGATTCCTCCTCTGGGAGCCATGAATGTTGGCCAATCCTTTGGCTGAATGTTGACATATTTTATTGGTCAGGTGGACATATCGGCCAGCCGGTGGCACTAAATGACCATTCAGCAGATGAGCAGGCTTTATCCTCTTGGCACTGTGGATGCTTGGAGCTGATATCACACTGCGATCTTACACTGACTGTGCCATCCCCCAGTGCCCGCTGCTAGCTAACATAAACACCTGCACGGCCACAATTTGTGCACCCAAAAAAAGGGGGGTCGTGGAGCTAGCAGAGCAAGAAGAGGTCCACAGTGCCCGCCCACACTCTTTGATTGACATACAGTATTTGGCAAGCACAGCACAGAAACATGAAAGCACCCAGCGCCACCCTCCCATCCCCACCCCAGAGCTGCAGGCTTACTGCTCCCTCCTTCTCTCCTTCTCTCCCCTCTCTCTGTCTATTTTTATCTCTAGCTCCTCCTCTACCCTAGCAGGCTATTTTCAGCACTGTTCCCCCACCCCAATCGCCTGTGTTTGTAAATGCTTCTCTTCTCTTCTCTTCTCTTCTCTTCTCTTCTCTTCTCTTCTCTTCTCTTCTCTTCTCTTCTCTTCTTCTCGTGTCCTTGCTCCCTCTCCTTTCTATGAAGTAAAATGAGCTGTTGTTGACTTTTCTCTGTATCCGTCTAACTTCCTTTCCACCCAGTGATCTACTTTCAGCCTCTCTCTCTCTCTCTCTCTCTCTCTCTCTCGGTCACCCTCCTCCCTCCGTCTCCTGTCTCTCTGTCGACGTTCATTCAGTAGCTCAGTGAGCGTCTCTCTCACACACACACTCATCAGTGACTCTCAGTCAGTGAATATTAGCCGTCTGACCAGCAGCTGTTTGTGGTCGCTGTGTGGAGCTCCACTATCCTCTGTCTTATGATAAGAGGACAGCGTGCCATCTCCTCTCCTGCTGCTCAGTTTCTCAGTGAGGACTCCAAACTCGCCGTCCCAGCGTTCTTCCATTTCCTTCTCTGTCTGTCGTTCTCTCAGTGCTTCGTTCTAATTTTGGAAACATGGAACCTCGGGGAGCGCTCTCCCAAAGCTATTTACGTCCTCGCCTCTCCTCCTCCTCCACCTCCTCCTTGCTCTCCTCCTCTTCCTTCTCTTCCTCCTCCCTCTCGTCAGCCAGGAGGAGAACAGCGTGAGGATTCTTTGATGCACACAGAGCTGTGGAATTGGGCTGCTCCTCTGTCTGTATTTTTATTGTGTTGACGAGGCTGCAGCAGCTCCTCTCGTCGTCGCTCCTCGCTCTCACAGCCTGTGGGTGACTGGATTTTCTCTCGCAGCTGAATGGAAGAAACAAACTTTCTGTTCCTTCCATCTGCAACACACCCCAACAGCACTGGAGCCAGCACTGTGTTTCTGCATGGATCAGGACTCCAGGTGATGTAGGTACAGAGAAATAAACCAAAAGACCACACAGACACTTTTCAGGTGGTCTCCTTTGGCTGTTGACATTTTGATTGATCTGCGAAGCCCAGCGGAGGGGAGGCTTTCTGTGGGCTGCAGCCGAGACGACGATATTAGAAAGGAGGAGTTTGCTCAAAGTGTCGCCCGCTCGTCATCACAACTCGAGCTGAGCAGTCAGAGACGGCAGAAGCTCCAGGAGTCCGATGGAGACTGGATTACACAAGAGAAGCAGAGAGGTGTTCAATTATTTTCTTTTCTTGTAATTTGCGGCCGTTCCCTGCAGAAGTTAGTTTTGAAGTTTTCAGTTTAACTGTATGGGTCTACGGCATGCCTGCGTCTCGGATGAAGAAGTGACTGGTTTAACAAAATAAAGCGCCGGCTCTCGCCTTGGCATGCTGTTGCATCCCACCGTGTCAGGATTGTGCGCCATGTTGCAGACCATCTATGAGACTGAGTCCTGTTTTTCCTCCAGCAGCACAGACAGCCACCATCAGCCTCTGGAGCTCCTGAGCGGCAACAGGGGCTCCAGCGCTGCCATGCCCACTGCTGGTGAGTCATCTATGGGAAAGTAGGGGTGGGGGGAGAGGGAAGGTGGGAGGGAGGGAGTGGGGGTGCTGCGGTGTGCTGGAGTTTGATTAAAACTGATGAATAATTTGACGTTTTCTCTCATAAGGAACGCCTGTGTGGTATTTGTGTTGAAGTTTGTCAGCTGGAGCAGCAGCACTCGCAGCTCGCTGAGGAGACGGTGGTACCTGAGTACACTAAGTGCTCGGTGTCCACAGTTTGCGTCAAACTGTGCACTCCACAGATACCTCATACACGTATTTTTAGATTCAACGTGACTTCCCACATCTTGTCTGTATCGTCTTCTCCAGCAAACACATTGAGGATAAATATTGATGGATGTGTTTAGAAATCATAGATTTAAGTAGAATAACTGTGTGCAGGTTTCCAGTGCTAGGCGTCAGTGTTACAACGCAAAAGATACCCAACCTCAGAAAATATCCTGGTTCCATAGTTTATCCCTGCAGTACAGTTAAACAGACATTTTCTCACAATTGGAACTTTTAACTCTTAAAAAAAATCGAAATATGTGTAAAAGTCTCTCGTTTGACATTGAAAGAGAAAGCTCCACATTTTATGTTAAAACAAAAAGAAAAATGAATCAGATTTTTAGAAATAAAGTGCAAGTTGACGAAGAATATTTCACTCTTAAAGCAAAAAAGCAGTTCTCACTCTTCTTCACGTTTCTTAGAGAAGAAGGGCAGAAAGCCCCGACCAGTCTCTCTTGATCTCTTGTAAAAGGTCTGAGTATTTTTGTAGTTTATGTAGATGGTTTCTTTTTAGCTATCTCAGTCTGGACACACTTTCTGTCATTCCGTCTCATTCTGTAGACTAAGTTAGCTTTGGGAATCCTTTGGGCATCTTTAGGAAATTGACAGTGTTTTAATTATTTATTTTTGGCTACTCCTATAATGCCAAACACAAATGTACACTAGTAGGAAACATGAGTGATAAAATGGATTTTCTGAGCTTTAGGTAGAGTAGAACTGGCCAAACAATGGTGCCAAAATGAGGTAAGGCAGTGTTGAAATGTAGCTTGATGACAGCAGGCTGGAACAAAGAGGATGTATATTGACTCTAATCTTCTTTTGGCTGCAGTTACAATGTTGGCTCCGTGCATGTGTGTGTGTGTTCAGAATAAAAGACTTGCAGAGATTGAAGACGCTGTTAATGAAGTAGCTCAAGATTTGTTAGATTTACATGTGTAGTGGCCCAAAATTCCTTTAAATGAAGTAATGAATTTCCTCTTAGATTGCAAAATGAAAACAACTCCTGGATCAACACACCTGATAACCGCCTGTTTGTTTATATCATTATAACTGGTGAACTATGTGCACATCTTAAGCTTCTCAAAAAAAGAGAATGTCACGAAAAAGAACTTAACAAAAGAACTTTCACTTGTACCTGAAATATATCGAGTCTTCTTTTGTTAGAATTTTGATTATAGCTTATAATCAAAGCCAGCCTCTCTTATTATTAGAAGAGATATATTACAACACACAAATGGCCCAAATGTTCAAAGAAATGTTTGTCTGTACACCCATGACTTTACTCCGTTACTCCTTTACTGTGGATTACTGCGTCAGTGCATCGTAGTTGTGGCATTGCAAGGCTGTTATTGAGGTTTCTTTGATAGTGGCCTTTGGCTTTTCTGGATTTTGGGAGTTTGTCATTTTCATCTAGACAGTACTCCAGAGATTCTCTGTAAGGTTCAGGTCAGGGGAGTTCGTTGGCCAGTTTCATTTTGCACTGTGGGCAAGTGCTAATACCTAGATAAAGATATCAACATCTCGAGGAGACTGTGGATCCTTCACACTGCACTTAAAACACTGGGATATCTTCCTTTAAGTTCTTGAGCCTTGATTTCTAAATGCAATGCAACATTTACTTTCATCTGAAAAGACTTTGGGCCACTGATGAACAGGTAAGACATTTCTCAAGTCTTTGGTTCAGTAGTGGGTTAATCGTAGGGAAGTGACAGATGTAGCATCTTTTCCTGAAGACGTCTGTGCACGGTGGTTCTCGATGCACTGGCAACAGCCTCAGTCCATCCTAAGTTTAGAATCAACTTTTCTTGACCATCATCTCAAGACGTCAGTCACCCGGGCTCCTTTTGGATCTTTTCCTATCACACTTTTCCCTTCCACTAAACTTTCCATGCTTTGGTACGACACTCTGTGAATCCTGTGTATCCAGCCTTTTCAGCAATGACCTAATGTGGCTTACTCTCGTTGTTGCAGGCGTCAGTGACTGTAATCTGAACAACTGTCAAGTCGGTAGTTTTCCCTTGATTGTGGTTATTTGTATTCTACTAGCGCAAGAGATGCATGACAGTTCTCTTGCTCCCGTAGGCTGGAACTTTATGTAACCACAAAGTAAAAGTTTACCTTTATAAATGAGATTGTGAAAAATAATGAACTTTGTATGATATTCTACCGTAAGTAACAGCAGCCGTCACCTATTGTATTGCTATTCCTGTGGACGTTACAGGCTCCTGTTGTATAGATAACCCTTTAATGTATTTACCACCAATCAGCCGTATCCTTTTTTCCTATTGGTAGTTGATCCAATCCCTTGTCTCAAAGTTGAAAGTTTAAATTAGTCCTTGCCCACTATGTGTCAGTAAAGGTTATTTTGGCTTCGTAAGTAGCTTAAATTCATTGACGTTCACAACTATAATCAGTGCTAGTCTGTGTGGACGCATCTGTTCAGTCATGTTTAAATCCACCACTGTCTGTTTTGGTCTCCACCGCCTGTTGTAGGAAATGTGCTCTGCTTTGTTCATCCGATACTTTCTGAACTTTTCCATCTGCTTAACTGTAAGCATTCAATGAGAGCTTTTTGTACTCTAAACTGATGTCGGATGCTGAAATGACCAAGCAAGATCACAACCGTGAGACTCAACCAGAAGCTATAGAGTGTAAAAACACAATGACGAAATGTACAGTGTTAAACGCTGAGGCCTGCTTCATGGGGGTGATAATTCTTTGAGGTTTCGTTACTGTTACTGGTTCACTTTACATTGTACGTGACCACTGAAGTTGAAATATAAAAACATAACTTGGTGCATCTTTAAAGCTACGTATATTCTGTGGCACAATTAATTGTACCAGATGTTCTCAAGTACTTTCAGCCCAGTGTAACACAACAGACAAGATCCACTGTGGATGACCTACAGTCTGCCATCCCATAATGCTTAACCCACCCATCAGTCTCTATAGCAACACCACACATGTGACTCCTCTCCCTCTCTCTAAGCTTCTAATTTGTCTAAAGTACACACAGCCATTATACTATTTTTACCTCACTCTCCCTCTTCCTCTGCCTTTTCTTTCTCTTGCTCTGTCTCTCTGTCTCATGGCTTTTTTTAGAGTGTTTTGCAGGGCTGACGTCATAGTGCCTATTTTCTTTTAGCAATGCAGAGTGAACAAGACGGGGAGAAAGAAAGCAGGAGAAAAATATTGGTTTGCAGAAATACCTCCCAGCAGAAGCAGCACCAGTGTGAAATAGGAGTGATAGAACCAGAGAAAGAGTGTAAAGTAATCCAAATTGGACTTCAAACTCCACATCCCTGATGGGATACATCATGCGATTTTCAAAATATTTGCAGTGACAAATCTTGGCCAACACTTAGTAAAGCATCTTTGACTGTCTGGATACTGACCGGATCACAGTTGCTTTAAAGCAGCCACATGAGGTATTCCTGTCAGAGGCATTAGTGGGAAATTCCCAGTTAGTAGATTGTAGGACTGTAACGCTGCAGCCAGGCTGACAAAGAGTCAGAGGTCCGCTGAGCCAAGCATTCCTTTAAACTGAACTAGTAGACTTCATTAATTTCCTCACAAATAAAATATTAAATATTCAAAAAGTATTCAAAACCGCCTCACAGACATATCATTATTTACAGATACTTTCAGTAGTATGGATATTTATTTAGACTCTTTCTCTCTGATTCATTTTTCTGAGTTAACTTCAGTAATTGTTTTCCTCCAAATCATCAACGTGTCTGTTAGATTCCATTCCTACAAAAGTGCTTAATGAAGTCCTACCATTAATTAATGCTTCAATTTTAAATATAATCAGTCTCTATCTCTATTACTGGCCTGTGTACCACACACCTTTAAGGTGGCAGTAATTAAACTGTTACTTAAAAAGCCATCACTTGACCCAGCTTGCGTAGAAATTATAGGCCAATCTCCAACCTTCCTTTATATCAAACATCCTTGAAAGAGTAGTTGTCAAACAGCTAACAGATCATCTGCAGAGGCTTATTTGAAGAGTTTCAGTTTCAGAGCTCATCACAGCACAGAAACAGCTTTAGTGAAGGTTACAAATGATCTTCTTATGGCCTCTGACAGTGGACTCATCTCTGTGCTTGTCCTGCTAGACCTTAGTGCAGCGTTCGATACTGTCGACCATAATATCCTATTAGAGCGATTAGAACATGCTGTAGGTATTACAGGTGCTGAACGCAGTGGTTTGTATCATATCTATCTAATAGACTCTGGTTTGCTCATTTAAATGGGGGAAGTCTTATAAACACACTAATGTTAATTAGTTCCGCAGGACTCTGCTTACATTATACATTCTTACATACATTTTCATTGCTATATAGATGATACCCAGCTTTATCTGTCTACTAAGCCAGATGACCACACCAATTAGTTAAACTGTAAGAATACCTTAAAGACATGAAAACCTGAGTGACCTCTAATTTTCTTCTTCTAAACTCAGGATATTGTACTTGGCTCTAAAAACCTTAGAAACATGGTGTTTAACCAGATACTCTGGACTGCACTACCTTGTCCTCCAATAACAGTCAGAGTCATTGTTGACCAGCACATGCGCATATTAGACAAATATGTAGGACCGCTTTCTTCCATTTGCACAATATCTCTAAAATTAGAACCATGCTGTCTCAGAGTGACGCTGGAAAATTAGTTCATGCATTTATTACTTCTAGGCTGGACGAGTGTAACTCATTATTATTAGAATGTCTTAAAAACTCTGTGAAATGCCTTCAGTTGGTCCAAAATGCTGAAGTGAGAGTACTGATAGGGACTAGAAAGAGAGAGCAGATTTATCGAATACTGGCCTCTCTTTATTGGCTCTGTTAAATCCAGAATCACATTTAAGTTTTTTCTCCTGATGAACAAGGTCTTGAATAATCAGGCCCCACCTTATCTTAAAGACCTCATATCAGGGGCGATTTGGTAATATGTGGTTCCTACAATATTCAAAAGTATAATGGGAAACAGAGCCTTCAGCTTCCAGATCCCAGATTTGATTGCTACTTCTAAGAATAAAATCCTTTTTCATAAAACTTATAGTTAGGGGTAGATCAAGTGACCCTGAGTCTGTCCTTAGTTATGGTGCAGTTGGCTTCACCAATGCACTGAGCGTTTGCCACCTCTTTTCACTCATCATGTTTTTTTACACCTCTACATTTAATAACTAGTTATTATTAATCTCTGGCTCTCTTCCACAGTGTGTCTTTTATCCCGTTTCCTCCGCTCACCCCTAACCAGTCACTGCAGATGGCCCCGCCCCTCCCTGAGCCTCATTCTATTGGAGGTTTCTTTCTGTTAAAAGAGAGTTTTTCCTTCCCACTGTTGCCAGGTGCTTGCAAATAGGGGGTCATTTGATTGTTGACTTTTCTCTGTATTATTGTAGGTTCTATTATAAAGCAGCTGTTTTTGTGATTTGGCGCCTTATTAATAAAATTGAATTGAATAAGACAGAAATGGTTCATTTCACCGGTCCAAGCAACAACAACAACAAAATTAAGTACTTGGGGATTTTTATCCTGAATTTATAGTTGAGCGGCTGTAGATCATTTTTATTTCCTTCATGCTCATTATTATGGAGAATGTTTATATGGTTTTGCAACATCTAAAATGAGCCATTTGACAAACAATAGTAAATACTGAAGAATCTTAGTTTCATTATGCCAATTCTTAGAAGAAAATGGAAAAATGTAAAATTCAATTTTTTTTTTAAAGTAACAATATTTAATACAAAATGAAGTCAATAGTTACTGCTCTCACATTTACACTGTTCTACTTTTCTGTTAATTAATCTTTTTATCCAGTAGTTTGACAATTTTCCTGAAGTACCTTTGGCCAAATGTGCTGGTGATTTCAGTGCTTCCTTGTGTGATGGATGGATGCACACAGTGTACAGACTTGCTTTTATGGACGTAGCGTTGGGCGATGGAAGCTAACAGTCATTGCATTTGTTTGCTTGGTCCTTATCCATTAATTAAACTGCAATTTGTGGTCCATTGATTAGCCACTTCAACTTGCTGTTTGAATAAAGAGGACATGGCTAGTAATAGAAGATCACAAAATGCTTGCTAAATTACTAATGCTAGCTCTGTTTCCATCAACCCACAGATAGTACCTGATCTCAGATCAGGTAAATCAGAGTCAGCAGCGGGTTATCTAGTTTGTCTATCCACTATTAATCTACCCTCAAAGACCAGAAGTTTGTTCACAATGTACATGCACAAATTAACAGTCCTCCTAGCTTGCCCAGCTCAAGCCAGTGTTAATGGCACATGCACATGCTCATCAAATCGACCGGTGCTATGTATTCTAGGGAGGCAAGCATACTTAAGCCTGCTTACAGAGTTAACAGCTAACTGTGGCTGCATGATGACAGTAATTTAAAGGATGGTGCACACATGCAATGAGAGAAGCTCATGGGACAGAACACTCTTTGAGATGCAAGGAGAAATATTGATGTTGATTTTTTACATGTTACTGGATAAGCAGTAACATGTTTGTCCAGTAACATGCAGTGGTGGCTTTGCTTGCCCTGATTGAATGCCACTGATACACATTTATGTAATTGGAGTTCTTCACGCCTTCATTTTTAGCTTGCTTTATAATAAACTCTCTGGTTTTACGAGGTTCATTAATTTTCTTGACCTAGTCACTGTGAAGAAAGTGTGCCTGTGTATCTTATTAGGGCCAGGGTATAATGACCAGTCCGTCTTGTTTCCATCCAGATTCATTGACTGGACGAAGTGGACCCACAGTCTGTCTTTCATTCTTTTTTACTGCATCTGCCGTGGTGCATGAATGACTGCGTGGTGCTGCAGTGAGCAGTAGTCAGTTAGAAGCCGATACTGGATGATTGACTAAAATGTTGCCTGAGCCCTGCCTCTGTGTCAGACTGTACGTTAGTGTGTGTGTTTACCAGACTATAAATGTCTTCAGTTTGACGTCAGACGCTGGCTGCTGTGGAATGCTGCTCTGTTGCCAAACGGACTGTTGTACCCACACTCACAGACCGGTCTCTCACGTACACACACATATACAGACAGAGTGTGTGTTGTAGTGGAAGGGGAGACACGTGCGTCACAGTGAAACTCCAGAATATTTGTTTAGGTAATTTGTGAACGGCTGCACACATATGCACAGACACACTTGTTTATCCAGAGCTCCCACTTTTTGGGCATTTTTGGTCACAAACCAGCAGCCTGAAAAGCTTCTGCTGATTTCATATACCTGTGTCATGAAGCACTTGTTCACTCGTAGATCCACCTCATGTTTCTCTTCAGCTCTGCTATGATCTGAAGCCAAAGTCGTCACAATCTAACAGGCTTGGCCCTACTGTCGATGTTCCTGTTTGATTAGCTTAGTAGCCACATGGGAAGCGTCAGACATCAGAGACCAATCGGTCCAACTCAGAAAGGTCAAAGGTCAGACTTCACAGTAGGTAAAACCTAATTAAATTTCCTCCCTGGTCTGCAGACAGGAAATGTCCTGACGTCACAGCGTGCTGCCGTGTGTGGCGTTTCCAAAGAAATAGCCTGATCCTCTCATAGGGGTCACCAGGAGAGCAAAGGCAGGTCACGGTTACAGCCCTTCTCCCGGACACTGTGATGGCTGCTGATGGAGCAGGAATACGAGGACCTCTCTGCCCCTCTCTCTCATTGCTCTCATCTTTTACTCCCAGCCCTAAATTACAAATGACCAGAGTCTCCGTTATATCGCAGCCTTTGGGAGTGAAGAAAGTAAGAAAACAGATTTATGTTGGTTTATTAAAGTTACCTTTCACATTTTATCTGACACGCCCTTCACTGATATAGACAGAACGTAGACAGAAGAAGAAGGTTTTCTGTGTCTTGCTCAGACCCTCTGAGGTGCGGGATCTGCAGCTTCTCCGTCCCAGCGTACAGACTGTGTGTTGATGCTGACAGTGCTTGTTGGAGCAAATGTAACACTTCTTTGTCTTGTAAGGGAAAAACACAAACAGTCTATGAAAACATTTAGGGAACGTTTAAACATTCAAAGTGAGAAAAGGAGAGTTTTCCACTGCCTGGCTCATAGTTCATCTAGCATTGCTCCAGGTATCTTATAGCAGCAGCCTGGAGAGCACATCATTATCTAAATTACAGGTTATCTTATCTAAAATATAAACATGGGCTAATGATCTAAGTAAATATTAGCAGACAGACTGTTGTGGGTGCGTGCATCGAGTCCAACATGGTTAAAACGTCATCTGATCTCCCAAAGTCCCGGACAGCTACGCAGGACCTTTGCGATACTCATCCCTAGTGTTAACCTGTTGCTTCTTTGCGCTTCCAAGGGCCAAAACTAAAGAATCAGTCCAAATGAGATCATACAAACTCTCCCCCCCTCTTCCTCTTTCTCTCTCACTAACATTCACTTATACACACAAGTGATCAGTATAAGCTGATTGGAGCTGCTAAGCTGATTGGAACCTTCCGATCTAAGCGCTGCTGAGGCTTGTAGCTTAAATGTACTTGTGAAAAAAAAGAAGAAGAGTACATTGCAACAAATGCAGCGAGCGAGTGACGACAGTCAGCTTAAACTGAGTGCATTTCTGTACGTACACAAATGATGCTTCATTTCTGTTAAAATGAAGCCGATCTTATAAGTTATTGTGAAAAAGCCTTTAAGAGAGTAGCCAGTGTCCAAAAGCAGGTTTTGTTTGTAGGTTATATTAAGAAAGCTCACCAATTAATCAGTATCACAGCTCGTAATTATTAATCAGAGGTCATAGCCTGTTGACACACTTAAAAAATGTCAGCTGCTGGGCTTAGCTAGGCTTTGTCTGAAGCAGGAAATCAATATGAATCTGGCATTTCAATTAAGAACAAGTGTTACAGAAACAAGTGTTACAAGACACTTTTTCTTTGTTCCTCTTTCTTTGCTTGCTACTCGTACTACTGTAATAATCTGTCACTATTAGTATGTAAAGCACATGTTAGCATGTTACTGCAGTGTCCTTTAGTGTAGCCATGCTGAATAAAGGCTGACTTCAGCGCTGGAACTCAGTGCTACCCACTGCTGCTTGTGAATATTTTTAGGCAGCAGGACTGTCCCCCTCACTTTTCTTACAACACTATCACAGCCCATCTGAATGACATGGAAGCTGTCTCTATGTGGGTGTGTATGCGATGAGTGATGCAATAATCTGCTGTCCCTGACATTTTCCACACTAATCAATCACTCGTTTCTCTATTCTCGCTCTCGCTCTCTTTCCTGCAGTAGTGGAGGTGAAGAGCAGCCTCCCATCAGGCATGCAGAGCCCAGTAGGAACAGCAAGCGAGCAGAGAGGAGGAGGAGGAAGTGGTGGAGAAGGTGGTGAGTAGGGAGTCCTCTAAGAGTCCTTGAAGTGGGAGGTGTGTGTCTGTGTGTGTGTGGTGGTACAAATTTTAAAAAATAACCAGAATGTGGGAAGTGAAGTGTCTGATGCTTCAAATTTGACGCTCACAGTGTGCCTAACGGTCCTCACCCCAGCGAATGATATACATACCTATGGCTATGTATGTCATATGTATCATGGACAGTGTGCAAGAATGATGTAGTTATCGTGATGTCACCCACCGGTTTGTTTCCTGGTACGAAACTTTCAAATCAGAGCTGGTGTTTGTGGGTTTTTACAAACCCCTGTGATGAGCGAGGGGTCTGACTACAACGTGCCATTCATGAGCCAGTGTAAAGTGTAAAACCCTTCTTTAGTAATATCAGAATAACCAAAACTGGGCTTAACATAGACTCATATTCAAAGTGTTTACAGAGGTCATTTTCACACGGACCACAAAAAGTGTGCAGGAATGAGGCAGCCAATCAGGACTGTGCTTAGCCTTTACATTTCAAGCACAGGCCTGATTGGATAAAACCTTCTCCAAAGCATCCCTTCTTATTTTAGCAGGTTGTAAGCATCTGTGAGACCAGTTGCTGGACTTCAGAGGGAGAAATGTTGTGCCATTCCTGCCTGATAGATTTGAGCAGCTCATGAGTCCTGGTTCTACTTTCTTATAGTTTTCAGTTTAATGAAGCAACTGTTCCACCATGCGCCCATGCTGCTGTAATAGATGCAGGGTACAGTTTAGCATTGCCTTGCTGAAATATGTAAGGCTTTTCCTAAAAAAACATCAACTGGATGGGAGCACACATTTCTCTTGAACCTGTGTATAGTTTTCAGCACTGATGATTTACAGATGTGCAAGCTTCATACCTTCATACCAAGTGAGCACTGATACTGATGATCTTTAGTTTGGAGGACTGAGCTTCTGTTTTTGCCAAAAAGAATTTCAAATTTCTAATCATCTGAAGACAGAAAGGTTTGCCTCAGTCCATTTTAAATGAGAAGACGGTGGTGTTTAGCGATCATGTTCACATAGTGCTTCTTCTTCTTCTTTGCACATAAGAGCTTTAACCTAAGTTTGTGGATGGGACGGTGCACTGTGTGCTGAGAACCTGAAGATCAGGGTCGTCCAAGACTGGTTTTTGGCCTTATCCTCTTTGCACAGAGATTTCTCAGATTTTCATAATCGTTTGATATTACTGCTTTAGATGATAAGATATTCAAAGTCATCACAATTATACATTGAGGAATTTTTCCAAAGACCCAATCCTGTTACTGACGTGTTGCCAATAAACCAATATTAGATGCAAAATGTTGTTCCAGCTCATTTTATTAACACTTACCTTTGCAGCCTTTAGTTTCTCTTTTTTGTTGCTGCTGCCACAATATAATATTTTTCATAAAATAAATAAAAGGTCTCAGTTTAGATTTTAGCTTTTAAATAGTGTCCAGTGTGATGGCTGCTGTACTGTTCTTCACACAGTTTTGCTGGAAGGAAATAAAAAAATTAATAATTAGGAAATGGAAAAAATGCAGTAATTCAAATCAGACTGCAGATATACAGAATCAGAAGCTCAGCTGTGCACTTGGCTAAAGTTGATGCCATGTTGTTTTTGACATTTCCAGGTGGGAGTCCAGGAGAAAGCCCGGGAGGAGGAGGAGGAGGCCCGGTGGACCTGCGAACTGAGCCCAGGGTAGGGTCTGTGTCCGGGGGGGCAGTGGTGGACACAGCCATGAGAGAGCAGCAGCTCCAGCAGGAACTCATTCTCCTCAAGCAGCAGCAGGAGCTGCAGAAACAGCTGCTGTTTGCAGAATTTCAGAAAAAACACGAAGTGCTAACAAGACAACACGAAGTCCAGCTGCAGGAACACTTAAAGGTGAGCTGAAGCACCAGCTCTCTTTCCCGCTGCCTTATTCCAGGAACCATTCAATAACCTGTGTGTGTATTTGTGTGTAGCAACAACAGGAGCTGCTGGCAGCCAAACGACAGCAGGAGCTGGAGCAGAAGAGGAAGCTGGAGCAGCAAAGACACGAAGAGCAGGAGAAACAACGGCTGGAGCAGCAACTGCTGCTGCTGAGGAACAAGGAGAAAGGCAAAGAGAGTAGGTCATCCTGATGCTACTCGCAGACCACAGGCTGTTTGCATACAGACAGGGAAGTGGCCTGATTGCTTTGTGTGTTTGTGTGTGTGTGTTTTGGAAGGTGCCATTGCCAGCACAGAGGTGAAGCTGAAGCTGCAGGAGTTCCTTCTCAGTAAGAAGGAGCCTGGTTCTGGCGGACTAAACCATTCCTTCTCCCCAAAGTGCTGGTGAGGACCAAAACTGTTTCAGAGTGTGTGTGTGTGTGTAGAAATGGGAAAGTGTTTCCCACTGATGGTTTGATCTTCTGCACCAGAACTAATATAACATGCACTTAACACACTTCGCTATGAAAACAAAACAGAAATAAAACAAAGCCGGACCTGAGAGATATCGAGGAAGCACTCTTCACTTTCCAAGCTGAGGAGAGTGTGAGGGTGCTGTTTTACCCGCGATATCATGAAGTTGTGTTTAGTTTGTCTTTATGTAGAGAAATAAGCATTAAAACACACATGGCTTTGGTTTTACACAGTTATACCTCGTTACCATGGTTATATGTAGTATTTGAGGGAAAATGATGCAATTTGGTGAGCAGCTCTATCTCATTAAATTGACAGTATGCAGTTAATGTACTAGAGTCATGTCTTAGGTCACTGGATAGTAACATAATCACTGTGACACCGCGGCATGTGCATGGTGCAGTGATGCACATGCAAATCCTCTGTGCTATGGCTCAGCAATAACAATAGTAAGCAATGTTTATCTATGTGGCACTTTTCCAGACACGAGTCACCAAGTGTTTTATGGAAAACGCTGTGAATAATGCAAACAGTGAGAAAGAAACCTGAGGAAAAACTTGAGAATGCAAAAATACTGCTCGGATAATTAAAGAACGCGGACATTAGTTAAAGAGAAGTTACAAAGACAACAACGTACACAGCAAAGACGAAACACGTTACTCGAACATCCGAGGACACTGCTCTGTCTTCAGCTGACTTTAACAGCAGAGCTCACCGGTGCAGGTGCAGCAGTCCACAGGCCGGACTCATGGTTCCAACAATAATGTAACACTGTTAGAGCTGAGTGAGCAAGCTCAAGGGTGAAGATGACGCATTTAGGACACCATGCAAGGGAGCGTGTGATGCTCTGGAGGAGGAAACATTCAGACTGGATGCTGAATGCAACAGAGAGACGTTGAGGGTCATGCTGGGCATCGATTTCCATTTCTAATCGATTTGATTTGAATCAATTTTGACTGACAGTCAGAAATACAGGGGAACCCCGACTGACGAAACGAATTCGTTCCCGGGGGTCTTTGTAAGTCGAAGCACCCATCGCGCCTTTTGAGTGAACGATAGGCTACAGGCTAATTGCTAACTGCAACAACAATACGTTGTTCAAGTGGAACAGCGAAGTGCAAGTACCAAAGCCAAGGGGGTTGGCACATGATTCAGAAGGCATTGTGGGCATTCTGGGCTCAGCCAATCAGAGCCAGCGGATTTCGTTACATGGGCATTTTGCCGTAACACGGGCAGAAATATTGCCGTTAAGTCCCTCCGTAACTTGAATTTTTTGTTAAAGGGAGTATTCGTAAGTCGGGGTTCCACTGTATTATATTTCTGATCATTTATCAGTACTGACACTTGTGAGATTTCATCAGAGGTGTAAACATCACAGCAGATGCCTTTGTGTCAAAGTAACTGAGGATAAAACAGAAAAAACATGAAGCAGATTTTCCTGGCCTGGCTTTTTATAGCAGATGACCTTAAAAATATTCTGCATTAGATCGAAAACTGAAGAAAACCATAAATCGACATATGAGCATTATCTGATGCTGCTGACGTGAAGCGGAGCAAAGTTAGAGGTTTCATTAGAGACACAGCAAAGCAATTTGGAATTTGGCATCATTTTAAAACATTGACATTTCTTCGGTGTTGAACAGCAGAAATCAGGCTTTCTTATCGGAGGTCATTTGTGTACAGCGCTGTACAAAACGGTAATAAGCAAGCTAATAATGCAGAAAACAGAGATTTGAGATGGGAAACCGTTCTTGAAGTACACTGAGAGAGAGAGGAAGTGTGATTTTTATCGTGGTGGAAGCAAAACAGCAAAAGTAAGAGGGAATCCATGACGATGTTTATCAAACGTGAAGCAAAGTTTGGATCTTTTGCTGCTGGTTCAGTGAATTTTGGTTGGAGAGCGACAAAACCTGCAGCATCAGAATGTGTGAGCTGTCGGCTCTCAGGCCCGGCGGCGTGTCCGTGTCCGTGCCGTCGGGTGAACGATCCGCGCTTTGTGTTTACATCTTTGTGTGGAATCCGTGTACCTGCTCTCATTTGTTGTTGTAGCTGTTTAGCGGTTGTTGAAGTAGTTTTGTGAGCTTCAACATGAGATTCTGGCATTTCTGGCAAAATGCATTTTTATTTAAAAATATTTCAGGATTTACTTTATTTTATTGAAGCTAAAGTCGATTTGAATCTGGAAAATCAATTTTTAAACCCAGCCCTAGTTGACGGGACTCTTATGTAGTCTAGCAGGAGCATTTTTGAATTTGGGTGGGAAGTGAGTCATGTACTTTCCCCCTTTTTATTTTAGTAAATGTTTCCCACTTTGTTGAACTGGCCTCTCGAGTGTTTTAGTGCTGTTTATCTAAATAAAAGTTCCCGCCTGTATTAAAACTCCAGCAGTTTCGAGTGCTTCAAAATAAAGTTTGGTTGTGTTATCTTAATGAGGCGCTGTCTATGACAGCTATTAAAGCGTGGGCCCAATCCCAGTCCACGAGGGCCGGTGTCCCTGTAGGTTTTAGGTGTGTCTTTGATCCATCACAGCTGATTTAAATGGATAAATTACCTTCTCAGCATGTCTTGAGGTTCTCCAGAGGCCTGGTAATGAACTAATCATGTGATTCAGGTGTGTTGACCCAGGGTGAGATCTAAAACCTGCAGGGACACCAGCCCTCGTGGACTGGGATTGGGGACCCCTGTATTAAAGTTTCATTATGGCCTGTGCTAACAGAAGCATCACATGTTCAGTTTTCCTACAGCAGAACGGACCAAAGATTGTCCAGTTTTGATCCTCCTATAGAAAACGTCAGTCCCAAAGCTGCTCGCGTTGTGTTTTCAGTGAGCTGAGCTCTTTTTCGTTTTCTACTATTAATAACAGCCACAAACCCATCGTTCTGTGATGTATTTTTTTTTCAGTCTGATGTGTGGATAATCACCTGAATCATGTTAAAAAAATATTGCTCCAACACCTCAGACACATCTCCATAACACACGCTAACATACCAGACACCTACGCCTGAATGACAAAAAGCTGTCACTTCCCATGAACGTAATGAGTTCCCAGTCTGAAAAGGGCCGCAGACAACACGATGCCACGTCCTGTTAGAATCAGCAGGGCCAGAAGCAACCGGCAATGTTCACTGATCTACAACAACAACAGAAAAGGTCAGGTTTGAGTGTCATAAGCTTTTACTCAGACCCGTTCTGCAGCAGCTATAACACAGGAGGAAATTAAAGGAAGAAGCACAGAGAGAATGTTTCCACACTGACAATCAAAGGAAATAACGCAGCATTCTAGGAAGTGTAGGAAATGACTAAATGACGTACAAGTCCCTCGAGAACCTGGGCAGAAAATGACATTCAGCGCTCGGTCTCATGGTACGATAAAAGGGTTTTCCCAGGCAGCTAATCTGCCGTCTGTTTGGGTGTTTGTGTCTGCAGGGGAGCCCAGCACACCTCCCTGGAGCAGAGCTCGCCTCCGCAGAGCAACACACCGGGGACTCCTCCTTCCTATAAACTGCCCCCTCTCCTGGGGAACTATGAGGGCAAAGACGACTTCCCACTCCGCAAGACGGGTACGAGTGTGTGTGTGTGTGTGTGTGTGTGTGTGTGTGTGTGTGTGTGTGTGTGTGTGTGTGTGTGTGTGTGTGTGCGTGTGTGTGTGTGTGTGCACGTACACAATTCATAAGGTATGCAAAGGTGGTGCAGTATTGTCATATAATTATTTACTTGTGAAATAAGTGTTGCAGACTAATTGCCTTACCTGGACCTGGAACAAAAGTGTGTAGATACTCCCCAATGCAACGGACAATTCCAACCTACCAGACACATCTCATATATATTAAAGGTGTTTAGGTGGATCCACACATGACAACAGGTGGAGTCCCGATGGCCGAGCAGTTGTTCCTGTTATACTTTGCAGTCTGCAGCCTGGGTGCATGAGTAGTCGGTGTAATCAAAGTCTCTGTGAAAGACGGAGTGAGTAAAGTAAATTTCGCTCACTGTTCGACCCAAATGGACCCTAGTGGACTCGCTGATGGAGAAAGTTTAAAACACACGTAACAATGTAGCTGTGATATGCTACATGCAAAGCAACTGTGGGCACGTCTCAGGTTCATTTTACTCAGCAGCATCCATGGAGGTGAAGAAAACCTCATTTTACTTATGAAGGGGCGTCAAACAATGACACAGTCATCTGCACAGTCCGAGTCTGTGTCTAACAGGGATCGGCCGTCCGCCGTAAAGCGATGAGCGACAAGCCCACAAACTGAAGCTCGGTCACAGTCAGAGCACATCAGCTGGTCCCCACGTCAGCTGACGATTTACAGTTGCTAACTCTTACACAGGGAGCTGTGTTTAAGCTGCTTGAGCCTGCACACAGATGCTGGACATCTGGAAGGGAGTTTGCAGCCCACCTCCACCCCAGCTCTTTCTTTCATGCTATTTCTGAATTGTCCTATCTGTCGTCATCTGTCCTGTGGTGGGATCTTGTTGTTGCTCTCCCCGCCTAAGGCTTTTCATGTGTGCACATGGAAAGTGGAGGTTCTCAAATAGATGCCGCCAAATATAAATGGCTGCAGATGGAAACGTCATTTTCTTTTGACTGTTGTGGTCTCAGCTGAAGTAGCAGTTACCGGATAACATGTTTGCCTCTGTAGTTAAATTGTTTAAATGCTCAGCGTACAAAGGTCGCCCACAACACTCCAAGACAGACAAGAGCGCAGCAGCTGGGCTACGTGAAGCTCACATGGATGTGTGGCAGGACCTCCATGCTGCATCTGCACCACCCGACTGCAAAGACTGTAGTTGTCACTCGTGCACAGCACATAGGTCTGAGGTATTTTAGCTTTACTTTATATAGTAGGAGGCCGCTGTGATGGATCTTTATAT